TGGCACTTTGAACTTGGACTTAAAGCCTGCAAACTGTAAGAGAATAAACTCCTGTTTGTTCAAGGCATCCCGTTTGTGGTATATTCCTGTCAGAGCGGCACCAGGGAACCAGGACAGCCCGCTACGAATGGTCTTCCAAGAATCATTGGGTATTCAACGGACAACAAGAATTTCCCAACGGCAATGTTCGAAATAGAAAAGGCAGTAAGTGCTAATTGCTCTCGGTGATTCAATGGAGGGGTCACAGCCCATAAGGAGCTCTGGTGGCTTAGTGCATAAGGCGTTTGGCTGCTAACCAGGTCAGCCGTTCAAACCCACCAGCCGCTCCTCGGAAGGCAGGTGGGGTGATGTGCTCCCATAAATACTCCCAGCCTTGGAAGCCCACTGGGGGTCACTACGAGTAGCAATCAACTCGATGGCAGTGAGTTTGGGTTGTTGTTTTCTTACACCCCGTACAGTGATGTGATTACGGGCCCCGGCTGGACCCAAGCGGTGATGTTCTCAGTGGTGCACCAAGAGACGGGGCATCTGGTCCACCCAGGGAAGCCACGGAAGAAAGCGCTGGTGACGGACTTCTGAAACTCAGCCACTGAAAACCCCGCGGGGTCCCGTTCCACTGACACGCACAGGGGCGCCGGGAGTGGCCAGAGACCCGGCGGCAGCTGGTTTGGCTTCTGTGTGTGTGTGCGTGAGTGTGTGTGTGGGTACGGCTGTGTGTGAGTGTGTGCGGGCATGACTGTTTGAGTGTGTGTGTGGGTACGGCTATGTGTGAGTGTGTGGGGGCACGACTGTGTGAGAGTGTGTGTGAATGTGTGGGCACGACTGTGAGTGTGTGCGGGCACGACTGTGTGTGGGTTTGTGTGTGTGCACGGGTACAGCTGTGTGTGTGTGTGTGGGGGCCCGACTGTGTGTGAGTGAGTGTGTGTGTGGGCACGACTGTGTGTGTGTGTGGGCACAACTGTGTGAGTGTGTGTGTGGGGACGGCTATGTGTTGAGTGTGTGAGGGTGTGTGGGCAGGACTGTGTGTGTGTGTGGGTACGACTGTGTGTGTGAGAGTGTGTGTATGACTGTGTGTGTTTGAGTGTGAGTGTGTGTGGGTACGACTCTGTGTGAGTGAGTGTGTGTGGGTATGACTGTGTGTGTGACTGTGTACGACTGTGCATGTGTGTGTGGGGAGGTACGGCTGTGTGTGTGAGTCTGTGTGAGTGTGTGCGGGGACGGCTGTGAGTGAGTGAGTGTGTGTGGGTACGACTGTGTGTGTGTGAGAGTGAGTGTGTGTGGGTACGGCTGTGTGTGTGAGTGTGTGGGTACGACTGTGTGTGTGTGGGGAGGTACAACTGTGTATGTGTGAGTGTGTGTGTGGGTACGACTGTGTGTGTGTGAGTGAGTGTGTGTGGGTACGACTGTGTGAGTGTGTGTGTGTGTGAGTGTGTGTGGGGACGACTGGTGTGTGTCTGCGTGTGACTCCACGGGGAGAAGGTTCTGGAACCGTGTGCCCTGTGTCCCCCACCCTCCTCCCCACGTGCCCTTTTCCCCACGTGGATCCTGGTCCGTACCTTTCCCCTACAATAAACCACAGTGAGATCAGCTCTCTGCCAAGTTCCCTGAATTCCCCAGCAAATCACTGAACCTAGGGGTGGTCTTGGGGACCCCCAGCATGCCCTCCCTTACAATGAGGGGGCTTCCGACCTGCCTTGAGCCTGACATGTCCGGGTCAGCATGACTGTTAGCTTTGGGGGTTTCGGGTTGGTGGGTGGCCGTTTAGTCAAAGGACAGAAAACTGGTGGACAGACTTCTGTTAAACTGGGGCGGAGGGGACAGACAGACAAGAGAGAGATGGAGGTCTATCTCCCAAGACTGAATTAACAGTATCTCTTCAGTGACAACCGTAATAATAACCGTCAGGAACCACCCCCGAGGGACAGAGACCAATTCTGGGCTCAGAGGGACCCGGTGACTTCTTCCTCGAGGAGAACAGGCTCTGCCTGCCCCTGGCCTTGCGACCACGGAGAGGACCAACTGTCACACGTCACTCACCTACGAGGCCTGTCACGTAGCCCTGCTGCTGCAGGACTCTGGCAAACGTGGTCTCGTTCACGGGGAGGCCGCCTGAGCCCCCGTTCCACTGGAGTGCCCGGTACCCGTCGCTGGCATCCATGCCTGTGGGGCGGGGTGAGGGGAAAAGTCACTCTCCTTCCCCCCGAGGCAGCGGGGGGCACGTGGCAATGACTGGAGATGGGCACGTCTGCAGGGGGAAGGCAGGGGGGCTCCTGGCATCTGGGGGCTGGGAACCCAGGAGGCTGGTCAAGAACCCGCCGTGCAGGGGACGGCCCCACCGCAGAGCGTGCTGCCGAAACTCAGGCCAGAGGGCCAAGGCCGAGACATCCGGGCCCCAGCATGAGACACACTATCCATCTGTCGGTCTGTCTAATCTCCCACTGCATCTATCAGTCTGTCTATTATCCATCTATCCTTATCTATCCACCTCTCACGTCTCTTCGACCATCCACCCATCTACCTCCCTCCACACTATCCATCCATCCATCCAGTCATCTCTCAGGCCTATGCATGCAGCCATCACTCCCAGGGCGCAGTGCCTAAGGCATCTGACTGTTAACCAGAAGGCTGGCGGTTCAAACCCACCAGCCACTCCTCAGAAGGAAGGTTGGGCAATCTACTTCCATAGTGATACTGCCTCGGAAACCCAAGGAGGGGTCGCCAGGACTCAGGTCCTACTCGATAGCATGTAACAACATCCATCAAGACATCAATCCATTCATCTTTCATGCTTTTGTATCCATCTATCCATCCATCGAACCACCTACCCACACACCTATCCATCCATCCATCACACATATCCATCCTTCCATCTACTCATCAGTCACCCATCCATCCACCCACGTATCTATATACTGATCCATCATCCATCATATCTATCTGTCCATCCATCCATGCGTCTATCTGTCCATCCATCTATCCTTCCATCCATCTGTCCATCCATCCATTCATTCCTCTCTCATGCCTGTGTATGAGTACCCCTCTATTCATCCATCCAACCATCTACCTACCCATATGTCTATCCCCCATTCATCTATTAATCTATCAATCATGCCTATGTGTGCATCCATCCAGCAACCCATCCATCAATCCATCCATCTATCACACCTGTGTACCGATCCATCCACCTACTCATATATCTATCCATCATCTATCATATCTGTCCATCAATGCATAATACATCATCTGTCCATCCATTTATCCATCCATCCATCCCTCTAGCTACCTATTTATATATCCATCCATACATAAAAAAATCCAAACCAAACTCACCGTCATCGAATTGAATGTGACTAACAGCAACCCCCTTTGGGTTTCTGAGGCGGTAAATCTTTATGGAAGTAGATTGCTCAGTCTTCCTTCTGTGGAGTGACTGGTGGGTTTGAACTGCCAGCCTTCTGGTTAGCAGTCAATGCCTTAGGCAGTACACCACCAGAGCTCCTCCATCCATCCATCCATCCATCTATTATCTATCTAAGGGCATCCAGCTGCTAACTGAAAGGTTGATGGTTCAAACCCAACCAGCAGATCTGTGGAAGACTTGGTGAGGTGCTTCAGTAAGATTACAGCCAAGAAAAGACTAGAGGGGCACCTCTACTTTGTGACACAGGTCACTAAGAGTGGGACATCAGCTCATCACCATCTAACACCAACATTACCTAGCCATCAACGAGTCCTGCTGGCACAGTGCTTAAAGAGCTCGGCTGCCAATCAAAAGGGAAGTGGTTTGAATGCAACAGCTGCTCTTCATAAAAAGGAGGTGGTCAGCTTCTGTAAAGATGACAGCCTTGGAGACCCTGTGGGGCAAGTCCACTCTGTCCTCTAGGGGCGCTGTGAGTCAGAATGGACTCCATGACAGTGGGTGTGGTTTGGGCTTTGCTTCTGTGAAGATTGACAGCCTTGGAGACCCCGTGGGCAGTTCCACTCTGTCCTCTAGG